TCCATGTACTAATATTTTTTCATTAATCTTATTTAAACCAAAAATGGGCATAAATAATCTGACATTATCTCAATCAACAAATAAACGAAATTATGGATTATTACAAAATTACAAAGAGGAATTTCCTTTTTAATAAATTAATTCATTTAACATTTTAATATTTTTTGTTGACTCTATAATGATAACTAATACTCCATATATTTTTGTGACAAAAGAAGTATTTTTTATATGAAAATTGTGTTATTACTTCAGTTCTTTATTGTATTTTAATTACAATGGTGATGACGATAATGACAAATGTATGAATAGTAATAATTATAATTATAATGAATGTAATAGAAATATTATTAAAAATAAAAATAAATAAATTTTTTAAGTTGTTATTAGAATAAACTTGAAGTGGTTTAAAAAAACAGAAAAGAATTGAAAAGGTATGAAATAAATTTTCATTCAAAAGAAAAGATCCTTAGATAAGTAAAAGGGAAAAAGAAATGGGGTCATTATATAATTTTTAAAAGTTAAAATGATGTGGAGTGTTTTATTTATTTATATGATTAAAAAGTCCACATGTCAAAAATTCACTAGAAGGGCATCCATGCCCCTTCATTAGCGAAGGCATGGAAGAAATTCCCTTTCCATTTTGCCACGTCCATGATTCGGGTCTCTTTATCTTTTCTGCCATTGCCTCTCCATGGCCCTACCCCTTCCATTTGGAAATATGGAAGGAACAAGAGATGATAAAAAGAGGGAGAATGCTCGGGGTACAACAGATATTTTGTGTCTGTGATTGTCTGTGTTGACTTGATGTACATATGAGATCCATCATGTTAGTGTACTCCTAGATTAATTCTAAAAAGAATAATTTAAGTTTGATTTCTTACAACTCCGCAGAGATAAAATTGTGGAGCGTAACCTGCAAGTGCTTTGTTGGGTACGATCTCTAGATAGGGGTGGACACGGTACGGTTCCAGTTCCGGAACCGCCGGTTCCGGTACCGCCACCCCGAGTAACCGGATAGTATACCGTGCCGGCCGGTACCGGTTCCGGTTCCCGGACCGGCGGTTCCGGTTCCCGGACCGGCGGTTCCGGTACCAGACCGGCCGGTTTCGCCCCCCCTATTTTTTTTTTTTTAATTTTTAAATTATAAAAAATTGCAATTGTAAAATTGCAATTGTTTAAAAATTGCAATTGTTTAAGGAAAGAATGCAATTGTTTCGCCCCCCACCTTTTTTTTTAACTTTTTTGCATTTCAAATCAAAAAAAAAAAATTATACCGGTACCGGAACCGAACCGGTACCGCCGGTACCGGT